AGAAATGGGCAAAAAATGAAATTACTTTTTACCGAGAAAATGCATTTATTAGTATTTAAATAATGTATAATAATGAAAGGAAAAGGAATTTTAGACAGAAAAGGAACGGACAAAACAGTTCGAAAGCAGGAGAGAAAGAAAGCTACTTTCTACTGTTCTTTTGTCTCACTTAACAGGAGATACTTTGTGGAAGTTTCAATTGGTAATTTGTTTTTCCTGTATGATTGTGAAACCCCGGTTTTGGCCGCACGTACCCTTTTTTGCCTCCTAAATTTATAATGTTTTTCCTCTGTATCTTTCGTGGGTACAATTACAAGGTAATTTAATTATTGTAACTACTCAGTTCGTTTAGTTCTTTTTGCTATTCTGAGTAGACCAAGCAGTATATACAATTTCTTTCGATGATTTCGATAACACTCACAATATTGTTGTTCCGGGCGATGAAATTCCATCGGAGGATATTGAACTCTTGTAAATCCACTATTTTTGTCCAGGCCTTGGTTCCTTATTAAAGTTTGTTGTTATATAAGCAAAGTATGGTTCTCTAGTGAATAAATATTAAGTAAATAAATGAAGAACCAAAAATTTAAAAAGAATATATACTCGAAACAATATTAACCCTGCTCAGACTGGGCTTTTTTTTTCGGAGGACTCATGCCCTTTTCGCCCGTTCTACCATTTACTAGTAAATAGTGGGAAGATACTAGTAAATGAAAATCTCGCTAAAAGGTCAAGCCTTTTTCGCCCATTCCACAGTTTACTAGCAAATAGTGTGAAGATACTAGTAAATGAAAATCTCGCTAAAAGGTCAAGCCTTTTTCGCCCATTCCACATTTACTAGTAAATAGTGTGAAGATACTAGTAAAAGAAAATCTCCCTAAGGTCAAGCGTTTTTCGCCCATTCCACATTTACTAGTAAATAGTGTGAAGATACTAGTAAATGCAAATCTCCCTAAAAAGTGAATACCTTTTTTGCTCGTTCCACCATTTACTAGTATAATTTACTTATATACTATGAAATGAATTTCGCGAAAAGTCATTTGAATTTTTTTTTGCCCATTATTCCACACATCACATACCACTAATTTCCTAAGCGTTCTCCGTTTCACGCTTAACAGATCATATCGCTTTTGCAGGATGTCAATACAGCAGAGTGTAATTCATATGCACCATAGTAATTGTTAACCTCACGAGCACTCTCCGGCAAGAGACCTTTTAACTTCTATTCAATCGAACTACAACTGTTAGGGTACGAAGCACTCAATCACTCAACCACTCAGCTATATGCCCAATCTCTGGGGTCGAGATTGCTATATACGCTAATCGCTTGACAGAAATTGGTCCACTCTGACAATGTGGCAAACTGCAAACTCCTCTTCTCACCAGGACGAAGCTGGAAACAGTAAGTGCTCCTTTCAGTTTTCAAAGGAGATATTGATTTTTATAAACGTCCTTGCTCTTCTGGTGGCCCTGGTAGGAAACAGTTTCCTTGTCGCCGCTTTAACGCAGATGAAGAAACCACTTATGCTCCTTATCACCAACATGGCTGCCTCCGATCTTTTAACAGCGATCTTTTTACTTCCCCGCTTTATTACATTTGCAGTTACAGGATCTCTTGCTTGGACGGTACAGGGATTAGAAGGAACAATTTGATGTAAGATGCGTACGTTCTTAAGCGAAACCTCGATTTCAGTGTCAAGCCAGAGCTTGGTGATTATGTAAGTCAAACGTTTTCTTGCGTTCTTGTACCCGTGTAAGGCTCTCCTCATCACCGTAAGAAGACGCCGCCTTCTAATTGCATCCACTTGGATTGTCGCCATGGCTATCCACGCGCCATATTTCATCGCCTTTGATCTCGTAAAAAGCCAAAATATCACCAAATGTCAAAACAAATGGGAAATTAACATTAATTAAGCCTTTCTCCACTACAACATATTTTCATATTTAACAGTTGTGCTTATACCTCTTGTTGTGATCTCTATTCTTTACCCGATCATTGTGTGTAACCTGTGGAGAGACAAAATGGCCTCGCATCGAAGCTCAAAGGACGTAAAATGTAGACGTCAATGTAACAAGAATTTATTTAAACTAGCTGCAGCGACTATATTGACATTTATAGTATGCTGGCAACCTTTTGCAGTGATGACTTTCCTCAAGTTCTTAGGCGCACATCCTAAATGTAGCCAGGTATTTGAGATAATATTTGAAATATCTCATAGGCTGGCCAGCTCATATTGCGCAGTGAATCCAATAATTTGTTTTGTATTTTTAAGAAATTTTCGACCTGAGCTACGCATTCTTTGTAAACTGTGGAGAAATCATGCTCTTGCAAAGGCGAGGACCAGCACGGGTATAGCAGAGTGCAAAATTGAATTGCTTCCGAGGAGCTCTCATTCCCACTTGTCAACGCAAACAAATTCTTTGTAGGAATAGGACCTGTGGAGGCCAGGGTAGATTTGAAGGGGACTGAGAGGCAAGTAAATAGGGTATACTTAACGAAGTTACACGCATTTGGTGCCTAACTTTGGCTACTTTTCACTCGGTTGAAACTACCTTTTTGGGTGAAGCGTCGTCCATGTGAGTGAATCCAAGATAGTCTAGGTTTCTGGATTCTATACCATGGATTCCGGATTTCAGGTACTGGATTCCGGATTAGTTGTCATCTGAACTTGTATTCCGGAATCCAATGCCCAGGATTTCAGATTCTACAAGTAGAAATTTGTTCGGATTCCGGATTCCACAAGCAAAACCCTTTCACGGATTCCGGATTTCGGATTTCCTTACACGGGGCGAAGCGTGAGAGGTTTTCGAAGAGTGAGAGGCTTTCAAAACTCATTTTATACTCAGAGCCATTAGATATTTCTAGGACAGCGACACCCAGGGACTAGCTCTGACAAGAACAATTAATGATCTGGTGCACAATTCTCTTTACATCTTTGGGAAATTATATGTGCATTTTCTTGTAATTACATGTTTTAGTGTTTAAGAATCAGTATCATCAGCATTTTAATATCATTAAAGAACCATGTTAAATATCATCAAAAAAGAGATGATATTATGTCTGGGACATTACAAAGGCCTTGGAGATTAGACCCAGTGATCAAAAGGGCGATGTACATTCGAATAAACTTGCCTAGATAGGAGCTGAGTAAACGTGCCCCATCTACAATTCTCTGAATTCACGTTGGCTCAAAGTCCCTGATCGCTTGTCGTGATCGTTATTCTAGATATACCAAGTCACTACATCGTGAGGCAACAATAACATTGTTATTTTCGTATCTGCCACGATGAGTGACGACAACATTTTTCGTACACATAATCATTTAATTATTCATCATTAACGTGATCAAGGCTCCAGAAGGAGTGGCGAGCTTACATTGCCTTTTCGGTAACATCCTCAGTGACTTAACTGAATGTTTAACACACCTAGTAAGATTTAACCCTACACAGATAAATCACCTCTAGTAATAAATAATTATTGGATGAGGTTTTTGTGACATCTAGATGTGCATATAAATCCAATGAACGCTTGAAAATTGCATTGATCTCATGGACTATATGAATGTAGCGCTACAGTGCATGAACTATATACTGCGAAATACGTCATTTAGAATGAAAGTATATCTAAACTGGCCGTTGTTCCACGGATCACTGATTAAGAATTGTTCTGTGTATGAACAATGAGGTGGATCTGAAGCACAGGCCAGGAAGGATATCGGGAAAGGGTTGGGTAGGTGGGCACATCAGAAGTACCTACAAACTAAACCCCGCATTCGCCATTTCCACATTTCCCATAATACACTTTGTTTGCGTGTTTCTTGCCTCCAACACACGCAAACAGTTTTGTATGCGCATTGTCTTTACCTTCTCTTCGGAATTTCAATTGTCCCGAGAGAAATGTAAACAATGCGTATGCAAAACTGCCTGCGTGTGCTGGGGGACAAGAAACACGCAAACAAAGTGGAAATGTGGAAATGGCGAATTGTCCAGTTACCAACACGCACCCCCACCCTTACCCCAATCCCTCACACCACTATATTTCTCTAGGAAAACACGCTTCGAACCAGTGGCTGTGGATTTAACGGCAAAAGAGGCTCGCGAGATGTTTTTTTTTTAACATTTATAGTCGCGAATACATAAATTTGTGTGAATTCCGAGCTTTTTGTCACACTCCAGCGGCTTAATCAGCTCTTGTGGAGCATTTTGGCTAGTTTTAATTATTAGCTACCATAGTGGTTCCCCTTAGATCTTCAGGAACTGCTATCAACTTATGACTTCGTCAAACTGTTTAATTTTATTTAAGGACCCAGGGGAATATGTTTTCAATGTTTAAAACATTAATAATACTAATCCTCAAATAAGGTGTATAGTACCTTAGTATTTCTGAAAGAAGCCAATGGTGCATGGCCTCTATTGGGACGTTTAATATACAACTATCCACCGAAGGGGAGGTGAATAGTGGTGAAGGGAGATACCGAGACGCGAAGCGTCGAGGTATGTATCTAGCGCTGTTCACCGATTCTGAGGGGGATAGTTTTTTTTCAGTTTTTACCAAATCAGTTAAATAAATATGAGAAAAAGTAACTTTTTAGTAAATTAAAAACATCACTTACTCCCGCAGAAAGTTTGTTTACAATGTACAAACATTTCCGGGATTTTGTCAAGTGCGTTTTTACAATTTTCCTGCAAATTCAGCTAGAAAATAATTTTCCACCTACCAGTAAATACCGACAAGCTGAAATTCGTCGCTTTCTTGGTATTTGTTTGTACAACTGCTTCATTTATCGCTCAAATTTCATCCTCCAAAAAATTCCTCGAAACGAGACGCCATCTTGGCGTCGGTCGCAATACAGCCAAGGATATTCCCAGTTACGGTAGCCAATGAAAACGCGCGAAAACTGCTATTCACTGATTTGGTAAATACTAATGAGGGTTAATTTCTTGCAAGCTATACTAGTAGAGTAAAACTGAAGATTAATTTGTACTCCATAGCAAAAGGCTTAAACTGCTGTTCCTTTCATGATTTGACGGATACCTTTTACTAACAACTCTGGTATCTCTTCCAGACTGGGCTGCTTCGGTGGCTCTGCTTCCTCTTGCACTGTACCTTCCGGCTTGCCTGCTGATGCGTTATCGATCTCGTTCTCGTTTGGTGCCTCCTCTGCTGTTGCTTCTTTGTCGGGTACCACGGTACTTTTCTTGCTTCCCTGCCCTCCTTCCTTCTTGTTCGTGCTTTGCTTGGCTTTCTTGTCTTGCTTTTGACTTCCCTTTCTGGATTTAACATTTCCTTCTGTTGCTTTTTCACTTAAGCTTATCTCTCGCTTCTTCGCACGATAATTAAGAACAGCCCTGCCGCTGGGAAAATTGGAAGGGAAATCAATGATGAACTCTTGTCCACCACGTTTCAAGGTGATGGATATGTCATGTGTAATTGTGTCTCTGCTCGTTCCTGTGATTTCAAATTGTTTTTGAAAAACACCATGAATCAATCCGAACAGCTTCATTCCATCTTCAGTCGAATACCATTGGGTGTCTTTAGTCTCAGCTTCGTTTGCAGCTTTTGGAGTTTGCTTAATCACCTTCAAATTATTAGCATCTTTCACTTTTTCATGGTGGTAGCGCTCACTTAGGGGGGATTCGCAGTTTCCAAATGGACCGGTCTTGATTAGGCGAAAAGCACTGTCTCCTTCTAGCTCTTCTGCAAAAAGAGAAGTCATAATGTATAAGAAACCTGTTCTAGACAGCTTACTTAAAATAGCAGTTTTGATCTTCTACCCAAAAAGGTTTGTGATTTTACGCCATTTCAGGTTCCAAGATCAAACCCCTTTCAGGGAGGGTATTTTGCTTTTCAATCCAGTCTCTAAGATATGAATTTAAGCTCAACCAACTCTGGAAATTTTAAAGGTATTATTGAATTTACATCTGCTCGCGAAAGGAGTTCCATTTGAAATATTCGATTCAACCGTTGCCTTATCCTTTCAGACGAGCTTCATACACTTGCTAGCATGTTATAGACTTATTCTAACATTTTGGAAATCACACAGATTTTCCACCAGGCCATACCAAAACTAGTTTTCTATTTTTTTGTCCAGATAACTTTTCAAAAGTTTTATGCACAAGGTATTTTCTTGTACGTGCAATTTTTTCTGACGATAATTAGGTTAATAATAATAATAATAGGTTAATAAATAAATAAATAAATAAATATTGAAAATAAGTGAATAGGAAGAACTTAAAAATACCAATCAGTCCGTCTAATTCCTTCTCGTAATTGGAGTTTTCCTGGAAAACACAAGGCTTCACTTTTATGGTTTCGTTGTCTACCAGTTCGACGCTCATTTTTACGAAAGAAGGTGGCGCTTTGCCTGATTTCTTGCTGGAGAGGTTAACACCTATAAAATAACATTGAAGACCAGTAAGACCATTTAAACTGAGGTGTTTGTTTGGTACCGTTGCCTTGTAAATACTTCTCTGAGGATGACCTTGTTACGATGCTAAAACGTCCTTGTGCTTATTTTATGGAAGTATGCATGCTGAAAAAGCAATTTTTGAACGTAACTACACTAAATTCAACCTCTTCTTTAATGGGCTATTTATATAATGGGTTCCTCTATCTTAAACTGTAGTGCGGATAGTTTGCTCCATAACAAGCTTCTTACAATCCCTCTCTGTAACCTGAAGTTCGGATTCCCGACGCCATTGTAAAGCATACAGCTGATATTTGCATCAAAAGAAAGCTGAAGGGTTGTGTGAAAACATTGTCACACACCATCGCGCTTCCCCCAACGACCCTACATTGGGCTTTTGAACGGGAAATGAATTTGCAGAAAAGCGAGTCTATTAGACAGACAATCGGCGACAAAGTTGGTTGAGATCCATTGCTCTTAAGGGGAAAATAAAGCTCCCTCTCCCACCCCCTCAATGCACTGTTTTGCTACTGTTCAAGCTACCCGTAGGAAACAACAAACACCCCAGCTTTGACTGGAGGGGAGAGGGGAGGGTGGGGTTGTGATTGTTTTGTTCTCCGAATTTACCCGTTAAATTTTGAGGAAAATGGCTCAACAATTTTGTTGCCAGTTAGAGGAAGGCCGTTTGAAGCAGTCAAATCTAGACGGAGGGTACCATAGACCTCTTTCTTTTAATGAAAATTATAAAATGGAATGTACTGGACTGTGAAAGTATCATTTTGTCAAAAAGTCATCGGTTGTGCCATGTTGAACAAGTTTGTCTATATCTCTGCACTAAAGAAAATGTGTTTTTAGACTCCTTCACACGCCCTTTTACAGAGAACTACTGAACACAAAAACAACGCAAACTCTATGGTTAAATATAAAAACAAACAGCTTAGCCTCGAAAAGCGGAAGTGGGCAAGTTGAAATTTTTTTTTCTAGTTTCCATTACACTTTGTAGGCGTTTAATTTTTACTTACCATCACCAACAGTGCTCCAGTTTCCCACGTGCTGTAAGAAATGTTGTTCTTGAAGGCATTCCTCAATTTTCGTCCCATCTCCATGCTTTGGTTCACCGATAACATACTGAATAACTGGCTGAAATGAATGGGTCCACAAGCCATAAAGCTGTCCTTTCTTTACCTTTTCCTCGTCTATGAGACGTTTGATTTGCGCTAGTTCGCCTTTGTGGATTGTGACCGTAACGCTCATCTTTGTGATCACCGCAATTCAACACACTGCTAAATAAACGCAAAAGTAGTCTAGCTTTAGTGACAGAGAAACGTGTCTTCTGCAATACACGATGAATTTCACTTTTCAACAGCATTAAACGTAAACATTTCTAAGAAAATTCATGTGCGTGATTTGAGTGGCTCACGCGTGCAAAGTATTTCTACCGGTTTTTCCGAGAATCACATTAAAAATGCTTTGAAATTTAAGGAGTAACTGATAAACGGGACTGATGTTCGTCTTATTAAAGTATGCAGGGCAAATTTCGTTGTGTTAAATTTCATACTTTTATACAGGGTTTAAGGAGAATAAAATTTTTCATTTATAATAATTTATTCGTGCGATCCGTTTTATAATTTTATAACAAATGTTGTAAGCTTTATATTTATGACCTACATGTACAATATGGTAAAATACAACTACACTCAGGCCATTTTTTTTGTCTTTGTAACCGCGATTAACCTCGTATTTCTTTACCACACGATGCTTTTCCATGAAAATGTTTTTGACGCGTATTTATTTACAATCGTTTCTCAGGAAAATAAAACCAATTGCGCATGTGTTCACCGCAGTGGCAATTCCGCGAAAGACTTCCGGCTTGGGGTACACAAAAACAAGTTTGAAACAACATCGTTTTCTTTAAGTAACAGTAGTTGTCGTTCCGTGGTGAAACTTGCCAATAGGATGCCCTGGTCAGCGTCACAACAAAAAAGGCTTGGATTGGAGAAAGAGTTGCTGGATAAGTATTTCCCGAACAGGGTAAAATGGATTGATCCGGGAAGCGGAACCAAAGTTGAAGTCCAAGTTACTTGCTCCAACGACAGACAGTACACCCTGCGAGTCTACATACCAGAAGATTTCCCCAATTCTTGTCCCAAAATGGTCGTGAAATCGGCGATGCTACGAGCCTATAACGGAGTGTATTTACACCAATACCCAGGCGATAACCACACAGGCTACAACACAGATGGCTACTCTGGGATTTGTCATTTCAGGCCAAATTTGTGGCGAGCTAACAACACTTTGTATCAAGTGTTCATGAAGGGTTTGATATGGCTAGAAGCGTACCAATCTCATCTTCGCACTGGGCAACCATTGAGCAAATACCTAAGCGAGATGAATGGGTAGAGAGAGTCATTTGTACAAGAGGCCTATTTTTTATGGACGTATTTCCATCGCGACGCTAAGTGACTTTATCAGTAGTCTGGATTAAGAAACAACCGTCTTAGCTTGATCAAAATTTGAGGATATCAAAGTTTTATCATTTGTATGTAAAATTTTAAAACTAGCTAAGATAGCGTAGTATCTGGTGGTATTGCGTTTATTTTGTACTAGGAAAGCTAAATTGGATTTTTATTGCTTTGGCTTTATTTATTGAAAACAGTAGTTTGAGCATGGTGTCGCCCCAGCATATGTGGGAAATGCTTTATTTTTGTTTTGTTTTGTTTTATTTTATTATTTAAAGGCTGAATCTGTGATGTTCATTTTAAAAGACAAGTAAGCAAATTCTCAAAAAAATTTCGTTAATAAAGAATAAACAAACGTGCATCGGGAGAGACATGACTGTGTTCTCACAAAAATTAAGCAATAATGTGACATCTTCCTGAAGGACAAGCTATAGATTTATACTCGATCTTGTCGCACGGTTTATGTCTTGCTACGCGGGTTAGAGCGGTTTTCACTTGACTGTCGAAAGGGATTGGTTTTGGTTTTGGTTTTGGTTTTACTACGCCCTTTGGTTGGCTAGTGTATTTACTTTGGTTTTGGTTTTACGACAGTCAAGTGAAAACCGCTCTATCTAACATGACATGGGTACCCATCAGCCATATCATTTCAGTACACCCTGTATTCCAAAATGAACGACGTCTAACCGTCAGTACACCCTGTATTACAAAATGAACGACGTCTAACCGTTCCATAATTAAAGTTACGTTAAAAAAACCTTAGAGGCTTCTTTGACCCAACTCATCATCTATGCCCCCAGAGTACAAAAACATTGCAATTAATTCATGTTATTCATGAGCTGTGCAGCATTTAACCCAATTTTCCGGGAGATATTTGCTAACAGTCGGTTTGTACATTGCTCACTCGCACATTCTCTCTTGCTGTATCTTATACCCCACGACAAAGACCAAAATAAAAGATATGATAATTCTCAGGTCCTTTTTCAACCGCTTAGGTAGTTCATTCTACTGCGAACACAACAACGTAACGAATGGCAAACCGTCTAAAACAGCGTTCTTTCTATTTCACACGGCCATTGTTTACACTGCTGCGGAGGAAAGGAGCCTGGGACTCTCCACTGTATTGTTTAAGGCCTTTACTTCTCAGAAATTATGTTCCAATTTTTTTTTAGTCTGGTATTTCAAAGTTACGAGGCATTTGTTGGAACTTGCCCTAACCTGCATCGTACTATAGTATCTGCGCATGCGTTTGAAAAACCATTGTATTTCCTTTTCGTCATAAGAAGCTGGATTTTTATCCCATTTTTTAGACATTTTGCAAAAAGAAAAAATCGCTATTAATTTTATGAAGCTGAACCTTCTTCTTTTGGAAAAGTCAATAACCTATGGGATGGTCACTTACTCAACGAAAGAGGCTGGCATTTGAAAACAGTATTATCAAAACATATTTCCACCGAGACGAAATAGAATGGATTGACCCCAATGATGATACAAAACTCGAAATCGATGTAACTTGTAGCAGCGACAGCAATTACACTCTCAGAATATATCTTCCACCCGATTTCCCTAACTCGTGTCCTGCCATGGTCGTTCATTCATCTAGTGGTTTACTTAGAAGGAAAAATGGCACTTTCTTGGATAGTATGAGTGGCACAGATCACACGTTATCAAGCAAAGATGGTTACACACAAATCTGCCACTTCCTTCCTCGCTCGTGGAAAGGTGATAAAACGTTATTTGACATAATTATGAAAGGAAGGGCTTGGCTGGAGGCTTATGAGATTCATCTTCAGACTGGAGATTCCCTCGATCGGTATTTACAAGCCGACAGTAGCATACTTTTAGATGGAGTCATCAACCGACTTTAAAGGAAGGCCAAAGGAAACGATTGTACACCTTGCTAAGGAAACAAATATACTTCTGATCACTGTCATGTTAGAGCTATCTCATTAAGTATTATTTGGTTGATACACATAAGATGAATAAGTTCATTTTAAGATGCAGTTATCATTGGGTAACTTGGAACATGCAAGGAACAGTCTTAAAGGCGACAGTAGACGAAGTATTGCGGCGTCTCTCGAGGACTTGAAAATGTCTCGAACACATAAAAGTGGCTATTTCTTGGAATTCATGAGGCAGAAAATTGAGACAAATGTCTGCTATAATATTCTTAACTGTACAAAAACACATTGTAGATATAAGGAACGGCAATGGCAAAATTGCTTCCAGACTATCCTCAACTACCCTTGTGGGTTCTGAATCAATTGTAGGACAAACTTCAATTCAATCAGTGACAGTGTCCTTTTTTTAACGAAACTGCACCATAAACGTCCATCTCCCATAAAACCGTCTGCATTAATTCGTTAAGTTAAGGCACTAGATTTATGCACACAAATACTAACATTATAAGAATGAAGAAACAGGCTAAAAAGAGGAAATAGTGGAAATTGAACTGCTGAGGATCTAACGGCGGTCCAAAGGCTTTTGAGCGAATTTGAAATCGAAACTGGTATGTACAACTTAACTCTAAAAACACCAGTAGAATAACTCACAAGACTCATGGGACGAGAACACTTAGAAGCGAAAGCGATTTAAATCTCGCTGACATAAAACTATTTGGATTTTACTGTGGAAGGCAGATATAATTAATATGCATTGTGAAATAAAAGGAACTTTGACATAAATAGCACAAAGAGAACGTCGTCTCGTATGAAACCAATGTATTAAAACACCATGAATGCCAAAATGTTACCTTCAGTCAATGCAACAGACAAAAAATTTATAATATCAATGAATGTGCTATTCCGTGTATAGACTAAAAGGCAACAGACTTACCTTGACTATTAGTCTCAAACTGAACAAACGTTCCTCGAAATCAACCTGCATTTCTATTTAATAAAAAGCCTGAATAAGGGTCAGTAGACTACCGGTCTTTCCAAGAATAAACTGTATACGATATTCTTTGTTATCCGAGTAAAGGCTCGGAAAGGAAACGAAAAATATGTGAAATCAAGAGGAATAAAAACATTTTTGTCACTGTGCAGAGAAAAGCACTCCTTAAAAATTTATTCAGCTTTATGATCTGTCCATTGGCTTTTTTTTGGCTATGTATTAGAGAAGGTTCAAAATTCAGAGGTAAGAAAGTTAAACTTCTGCGCATGAGCGCGGCTACTGAAATTCCAAGAAAGGGAAATTCGAAATGCAAATATATTGTTTGAGATAAGCACTGTTTTGTTCAATTATTTTGTGCAGACCAGTGAAGAGTGTAAATAGGGATATAACATACTATCGGATAAAACTATACTGCCGTCTTTTACCAGTCACCTATTGCTTCCGAATCATGCCTTGGTCAACAACTCAAAGACAAAGACTGGCATTTGAGAAATCGCTGCTAGAACAATATTTCCGCAACAGGGTAACATGGATTGATCCGACAGGCGACACAAAGGTTGAGGTCCGAGTGACTTGCAGCAACGATAGACAGCACACTTTACGAGTATACCTGCCATCAGACTATCCAAACTCTGTTCCCGATATGATTGTGAAAACCCCTGGAATGACCACGGTGAAAAGTCGCAGCGGAGGTGAGATGAGTGGAGGAAGTACTGACCACATTATTGGGACCCGTGATGGCTGCACAAAGATCTGTCATTTCCAGCCGGCTTTGTGGAAGGATGACAACACACTGTATCAAGTTATTATGAAGGGTATGATATGGCTGGAGGCATACGAGGCCCATTTACGAACGGGAAGAAATCTAAATGCTTATCTGGCTGAGATGTGACTGCGCATCGTGACAGATAAACGAACAATTAAGGATTAGGACATTCACATCATAAGCCATAAGATTACAATTTTCGCAGGAATGAAAGGGCTAAATGAAATCAGTTTTTTTATGTTTAAGAGAAAATCAACCAAATGTTTTATCAACAAGGCGGCTGAAAACCTTTTGACGTGTAAATTGAGTTAAAATTGATATGTGTATAGTGACGGGTGCTGCTTTTTTTTCCCCAAGAAATGCTTAGTTTTATCTAGTTAAAATCATATCGCGCATGAACGAATTTCTTGGTAAAGGGTCGATAAAGGTAATAATTAGAACTAAACGTTGTATGCCACTGTAACTAAAATTGTTTGTACCTCCGGTGTTACAATCATCATCATCGTCATCATCATCATCATCATCATCATCATCATCATCATTATCATCATCTTCATCGTCATAATATCTAGTATCTAGAAGGTCGTGGGCTCGAGTTCGAGCTCAGTGTTAGATTTGGAGTTCTCTCTACTGAAGTTATTGAATTTTTTATTGCCCAGATAGTATTAACGTGACTGCGTGATGCCGTTATTTCATGATGTGTTCATTTGATGAAATTTAATCGTGCAATAGGGGCTTATATGTCAGCTAACAAATGACCTGCTCATCACTAGAGTTCTCAGTAGCTCAGTGATTAGAGCATCCGACTAGTGTCTGGAAGATCGACGTCGTGGATTCAATTCCCATCTTGAACTCATATATTTGAGCTTTTTAAGAGATTCCAAAATGGTCGAAAACCAACTGTATGATTACATGCTATTCTAGCCAGCCTGTTTGGCTGGGGTTCCCGATATCGAGATGACTTAATGCTGGAAAATAAAAGTCGGCTTGACGAAATTGTCCAGCCTGGTAAGCTGGGTCGCTGCTCGGTTCATATAATCAGCACCTCAGTGTTTGATTTTGTGATAAAACGTTTGATATATTACTTCTAGTTTCTAAATCGTTATTAAGCCATTTTGTTGTTAGATATTGTTGTTACAATAAAAACAAACACACCAAAAAAGAAGGAAAAAAAAACACGAGAATATTAATCGCACTTCCAAGCAAAGATGGTTACACGCAAATCTGCCACTTCCTTCCTTGCTCGTGGAAAGGTGATAAAACGTTATTTGACATAATTATGAAAGGAAGGACTTGACTGGAGGCTTATGAGATTCATCTTCAGACTGGAGATTCTGTTGATCGCTACATGTATTTACAAGCCAATGGTAGCATACTTTAAGATGGAGTAATCAACCGACTATAAAGACCTAAGGAAACGATTGTACACCTTGCTGGGGATACAACTATACTTCAGATCACTGTCATGTTAGAGCTACCTGTCCGAGTATTATTTTGTTAATACACACGAGATGAAAGAGATAATTTTAAGGTGTGGTTAGGGGGGAACACGCAAGGAGCAGTCTTAAAGATGACATTATAAGTTATAGTGCCAAGGCGCCCCGGGAGGACTCAGTTGAAAATAGCTACCGTAAAATTCCGAAAATAAGTCCCTCCATGTATAGGACCCTCCAAATATAAGCCCCACAAGCTTGTAACACAAAAAACCCTCCGTTAAATCGGCCCTCCAAATGTAAGCCCCCCGGGGCTTGTACTTGGAAATTGTCCTCAAATACAAAGTAAAGCAAAGCAAAAACGGTAAATTTCCTTCCAGCTGTACTGCTAGCCCAATGGATTTTGAAACGCTAATTTCCCTCCATAGATAAGCCCCTCCGAATATAAGCCCCTCCAAAAATAAGCCCCTCAAAAAGGGCCGTTGAAAAATACAAGCCCCGGGGCTTATTTTCGGAATTTTACGGTATTTCTTGGAATTCAGGAAGCAGAAAATTGAGACAAATTTATGCTAAAATATCCCCAACCGTTAAAAAAATTGTAACAGAATACGGGAGCAATGGCAAAAATAGCCTTCAGACTATCCTTAACTACTTTTGTGGGTTCAATCAATTGTTGTACAAACTTCAATTCAATCTGCGTTTTTTACAGAAGTTGCACCATGAACTTCCACCTCCTATATAACCGTCTGCATTGAGTCGTTAGGTAAAGGCACTTGATTTATGACATACTGACAAATACAATAAGAATGAAGGAACAGGCTTTTAAAAAGAAAACAGTGGAAAGTGGCCTTTTGAGGATCTAACGGCCCATCAAAGCTAGCCTTTTGAGCGAATTTGAAATCGAAAATTATGTACCTCTTAACTCTAAAAATACCGCTAGAATAACTCATAAGAAAGACGAGAACACTTTGAAACGAAAGCGATTTACATCAAACTGACATGATATGTCTAGCTAGATTTTACGTAAGGCAGATAAAATATGCCTTGTAAAATAATTATAAACTTTGACATAAATAGCACAAAGAGAAAGTCGCTTCGTATGAAATCGATGTATTAAAACCACCATGAATGTCAAAATGTTACCTTTCAGAATGCAACAGGAACAATATAATATCCTATGAGCTATTCCGTTTATAAGAAAATACACAAAAAGCCAAAAGACTTACCTTTCAAGTACTATTATTCTCAAACTGAATAAACAGTTCCACGAGATCAACCTGCATGAATAAAGTGCCTGAATAAAGGTCAGTAGACTACCGGCCTTTCCAAGAAAACCCCGTTCACGATATTCTTTTTTTATCCGAATAAAGGCTCGGAAAGGAAACAAAATATATGCCAAATCAAGAGAAATCGTTTCATTATGCAAAGCAAAGCACCCCTAAGAATTTCAGATATAAGAAAAGGTTTAAAATTCAGAGGCAAGAATGTTTAAACTTCTACGCATGAGCGCGGCTAAATATTCCAAGAAAGCAAATTTTGAAATGCAAATGCATCGGTATTGTTTGAGAAAAGTAGTGCTTTGCTCATTTATCGTGCAGACCAGTGATCATGTCAGGTGTTGCCTATTCGGTGTGAATAGGGAAATACACACTATCGGATAAAACTATAACGTCTTTTATCAATCACAGAGTTTCGAAATCATGCCTTGGTCAACAACTCAACGACAAAGACTGGCATTTGAAAAATCGCTGCTAGAACAATATTTCCGCAACAGGGTAACATGGATTGATCCGACAGGCGACACAAAGGTGGAGGTCCAAGTGACTTGCAGCAACGATAGACAGCACACTTTACGAGTGTACCTGCCATCAGACTATCCAAACTCCGTTCCCGATATGATTGTGAAAACCCCTGGAATGACCACGGTGAAAAGTCGCAGCGGAGGTGAGATGAGTGGAGGAAGTACTGACCACATTATTGGGACCCGTGACGGCTGCACAAAGATCTGTCATTTCCAGCCGGCTTTGTGGAAGGATGACAACACACTGTATCAAGTTATTATGAAGGGTATGATATGGCTGGAGGCATACGAGGCCCATTTACGAACGGGAAGAAATCTAAATGCTTATCTGGCTGAGATGTGACTGCGCATCGTGACAGATAAACGAACTATTAAGGATTAGGACATTCACATCATAAGCCATAAGATTACAATTTCGCAGGAATCAAAGGGCTAAATCAAATCAGTTTTTTTATGTACAAGAGAAAATCAACCAAATGTTTCATCAACAAGGCGGCTGAAAATCTTTTGACGTGTAAATTGAGTGAAAATTGATATGTGCATTGTAACGGATGCTGCTTTTTTTTCCCCACGAAATGCTTATTTTTATCCAGTCAAAATCATATCGCGCACGAACGAATTTTTTGGTAAAAGGTCGATAAAGGTAATAATTAAAACTAAACGTTGTATGCCACTGTAACCAAAATTGTTTGTACCTCCGGTGTTACAATCATCATCATCGTCATCATCATCGTCGTCCTCATCATTATCATCATCATCATCATCATCATCATCATCGTCGTCGTGATAATATTAAGAAGACTAGTATCTAGAAGGTCTTGAGCTCGAGTTCGAGCTCAGTGTTAGATTTCGAGTTCTCACTACTGAAGTTATTGAATTTTTTATTGCCCAGAGAGTATTAACGTGACTGCGTGATGCCGTTATTTCATGATGTGTTAATTTGAGGATAGGGCCTGTATGTCAGCTAACAAATGACCTGCTCATCATTAGAGTTCTTATTAGCTCAGTGGTTAGAGCATCCGACCTGTGTCTGGAAGATCGACGTCGTGGATTCAGTTTCCATCTTGAACTCATATATTTGAGCTTTTAAGAGATTATGAAGAGCTCGAAAACCATCTCTGTGATTACGTGACATTCTAGCCAGCCCGTTTGGCTGGGGTTCTCGGTATCGAGATGACTTAATGCTGGGAAATAAAAGTCGGCTTGACGAAATTGTCCGGCTTGGTAAACCTGGTCGCTGCCCGGTTCCTCTTTTCCGCACCTCAGTGTTTGATTTTGTGATGAAACAGTATGTCTCTTGTTTGATATATTACTTCTAGTTTCTAAATCGTTATCAAGCCATTTTGTTGTTGTTAGATATTGTTGTTACAATAAAAACAAACACGCCAAAAAAGAAAAAAACAACAACAAAAACAAGATTCAACAAAAAAAGAGAATATTAATTGCACTTCCGTTTGTGAATAACAACTGTGGTGATGCAACCTTTTTCTTGGAAAGGTCATTGGAGCGAATTAAACCATTGCGCATGCGTATGTGCAAACAGTACTCGCTGCTGAGAAGCGAAAGAGAGGATTTCCGACTGATTGTTTTCAGAAAGCAAAACATAAGTTAAAATCGTCTTTGCCCTCCTGTTATGTCTTGGTCAACATCTCAACGACAAAGGCTTGCATTTGAAAAGTCGTTGCTTGAGAAATACTTCCAAAACAGAGTAACATGGATTGATCCAACTGAGGCAGGGGAGACAAAGGTTGAAGTCCTAGTGACCTGCAGCAACGATAAGCAGTACATCTTGAGAGTTTACCTGCCGCCAGATTTTCCTAACTCCGTCCCTCCTATGATTGTGAAGACGCCGTCGATGACTACCCTGAAGAAACGCAACGGGAACAATTTAGATGGCCTCGATGATCACATTTACGGAGTCCATGATGGCTGTACCCAAATCTGCCATTTCAAACCGAGTTTGTGGAAAGACAACAACACGTTATACCAAGTGGTCATGAAAGGATTGATATGGTTGGAAGCGTATCAAGCCCACCTTCGTATAGGACAACCTTTGAATGTGTATCTTTCCGAAATGTAGATACCAGAGTTCATAAAGTTAAAGGTTTGAATGCCTGCTCCGCCATGCCACGGGTACATCATCCTTTGTTTGTGTGATTTTTGTTATTGCTCCACCACCCCAGTTAATTTAGATAGAGTGACACAGAGAGAGAGAGTTCACTTTTCCGCTGGCGGCAAGAAAAATAAATCATATTTATCAAAATAGCACTTGCAAGCCGCAAAGAGAGTGATGACAAGCCAACAGTTCTTTGGCTAGTTTGTAGTTGCATATGGCAAATCATACTGTAATTGAGTAGCGCAATATTGGTTTCCTTTTCAGTGGCCAGTTTAGATTGACGAACATTTGTAGAGCATTGTGTTGTAAAAAACTTTAAAGCTAAGGACCCACAGGACACAGAAGAAAAATGTTTGTGTGATGACGTCACTACTTAATTAACAACTAGAATTTTGGCGATTATACACACCGCCACTTTTAAGTGACAGTGTTATTGCCAGCCGTGAGTATTGATGCATAGTTTTTTCTTACAAGATAAGCGTCATGAAAACAACATTACTTTATGCACATCACGAACCCTAATTTCCTAGGAACATCCAGGATATCACGACAAAGAAGTCTCCGACTTTGTTTTTAAAAGTATAGCCTCATCGTTTAGCGACAAAGAGGATCTTATGTAGAATCGAATGCACGCTTCATAGCATTCAGATAATGCGTGACTGCAGAAGACAAATTGTGTGGTTTCGTCCTTCTTTTTTACAAGAAAACTGTTTTCCTAATTTGCTCGTTTTCTTGCCTGCAGTTTATTGTTAGTTTTCTGTCTATTAATCAAATACATTCAAACATTTTTTTCTTAAATCTACAGAAGGTAGAGATCTCCAGAATGTTTTGTTTTCAGTTGGAATTAACTTCCACGCATGCGCTTTTTTCCTAGAAACTGGAATAATAACACAAATCATTTTTTGTGTTCAATCAGGAGCCAGCATTCGCTTGAACGTTTGTAAATGGGCTGGTGAGAGTTGGTTCCCTAGCCGGGGGCTCTTCCGCCCGTGCTTTGAAACTTTCGTCGCGCTTTTTCTCCCGACCCAACTGACTGCCCCTGGGTCTCCGGGGATGGTGCTGTCTTTGTAAAGAAATCTGCAAACGGTTAGACTTTCTAGTCTTTTCGGATAAGGACGATAAACCGTAAGACCCGTCTTACAACCCACGCACATATAAACTTTGACAGAACCCGCACACCGTTCGTAATGAGTAGTCTCCCTTGTGGTAGTCCATCTCTCCTGGGGGAATGGACTGTTACGGGTCCGCAGTAATTGGCGCCACGCGCTGTTGCTGTGACCCTACCGAGAATCGGCGAACCTAAGGAAAAAACAAGTAAAATGATAATGAATATGCTCCACATTTTCCCTGCTACGCCTCTCACCTGTAACAGGGCCTCACATGAAGTTGGAAACAGGATGAATGAACAAGTAAACTATGCAACCTAAAACCAAAGTAAAAGAGGTTTGAAATATACGGGTCCAATGAAATTGGAGATTTTATAGAGGTGCGAGGCTACTTCACAAATCGTTTTGTCATTGGATGACAATCTAACTAGCACGATAAGCTGGGGTTCCCGGTAACTAGATGGCGTAATTAATACTGAGCATGAAAGTGGTCTAAGCAAAATGATCCAGCCGGGTAAACCGGGTCGCTACCCGGCTCATGTCACCTCAGCACGTCAGTGACTGATTCTGTGATACAACTGCGCATGTCTTTTGTTAGTGATATATTAGGGGCGGATCCAGGATTTTTCGTAGGAGAGTGTACACCACTAAGAATAACGTAACTGAGCGGTGACGTAAACAATTTTTTAAAGCGAATTCGAAGAAGAAGGCTTTTGACTAGGCAATAACATGATATGAACTCCTGAGAATACGAATATCATACATGTCTACATATTTCGCAGAATACCAGTTGTCAGGAGCCCTCTCCGGAGGGGGGGGGGGGGTGCCCCCCCTTCCCCCTCCCCTAGATCCGCCCCTGTTTTTCATTTTTGCAGATTTTTTGTCACATAAACCTATGTTTTATTGCTTTTAGCCCCTTTGAGTCCCCAGTACCTCAGTGGTAGGGCATCGGGCCTAGGACCCCCGGGGCCCCATCACC